TTCCCTACATATTTTGAATATATTTAGGGCACTTATCACCATAGCATCAACGCACTGAAATATCTTGTGCAAGAAACTGAGACATCTGTCCCAAAATAGCTGCCTGCTCTTTTACCAAAGCACCAATTTCTCTGTCAGCGCTACCTTTCCCTGCCATTGCCTGTGACTGTGTCTGCGTGCGCGAGTGTCAGAGCTTCCTCTGTGCCCATCAGCCCTTGTCGCTGTCGCTTGTTGTCGTAACGCGGTGGGTTAAGGGCCAAGTCTGGGGGAGATTTGTGGTGCTTTTTGGTGTATTTGTCTTAAGACTTCAGTATCGTGTAATGGGCTGAATGGTTTTGCAGGCCTCCTTGTGTGCATGGGCGCTGTGAAACTTTATTGCTGTTTATCTTGATACGAGAGGCTAAGAGTTCCATGCAAGGCAATATTCTGAACTGATGATATGAGCGGTATCCAGCTGTTGTCAGCCCAGATGTGCAGAAAGACTTTATGGCTTGTTAAGTCTTAAGGCATGCTGAGCACCTTTGGCTTTTCCTGATGCTGTTGGTGTCCCCCGAGGCTCAGTGCATCCGATACATCGGGCCAAAGGAGATGCTGTCTTTCCTCGTCTCTGGGCTTTGGTGGCAGGGCTGAGGCATGCGAAAGGGAGCTGTGGTCACTTCTGTCTGTTTTGCTCTGAGCTTTTCATTTTGCAGCTCCAAACTGAACTTTAAATTCTTCCTTGCTGCCTGGCCTCGCATGCCTACCTCTCGTGGGAAAACCTGCCCCGCTTGTAGATTACATTTACAAGGTGACTTACTTCACCGTACATCTGTCTGAAGCCCCCGGTGAATTATGGTTTGTTGTTTTCTCTTTCCCCTCATCTTCAAATGCCTCTCTGCATGCAGATTGCACCGAGCTCCCTCCTGAGTGTCAGCAGTTATTGATGTGCTCCCTGGTCTTGAGGAATGCTCCTTCTGAGCTCCTGGTGAAACAGGCTCTGGGGTCTTGCAGGGCAGGGTTAATTGCCGATAACAAGGGAAGATCTTGGATCGGAGCTGCCGCAGAGTCCCTGGCTCGTCATCTCGTTCCCAGCTTTCCAGGGACACTGAGCTCTGCTGGAGCTGGGGGGCTCGCGGCTGCCTCTCCTTGTAGAATGTAAAACCCCGGGATCGGCATCAGCTGCGGTGCTGCGTGTGGGGATGGGCCTGTTCTTCTCCCCAGGGCACAGCCCAGCTTGCTGCCAGCAAACAGCAGGACCAAGGCAGTCCTGTTAGACCTTGGCTCTGTTGTATTGGTGTGAGAGGAGGATGCTGGTTTCTGGGGGCAGTAAAATGTAGAAGTTCCCCTTCCCTCCTTACACAAACTGTCCCTGCCATGCATTCCACTGGGCGTCACGTTTCCTACTGCTCCTTCTTTGCCAGTGTTTCCATCTACATAATTAATTCTCGTGTAGCTCCAACCACCCATGCCACCGTCTTCCGTGAGTCCCATGGGAGCTCAGCTGTGGAAATGCATTAGATGCTTCATCAGCGGATTACAGATCAGGTCGTACCAAGCCGCCTCTCCTCTCATTAGCATGCAGCAAGTGATCACATCTGGAGCTAGGTGTGAGCAGGCAGCTCCTCCTTCCCCTCCAAACCAACCCTATAAATTACTACCCAAGCTGGTCCTGGACATACCTAATGCAATTCTATTTATTTCTGAATGTGCTTGGGAGAAGTGGAGGTGTTCTTGGTTATAGAGCCAGCTTATGAGGTTTTCTGGTTTAGTTTTAAAGGGATGAGAGGAGTCTTCAGCAAAGAACAGGCATGTTGTCTCTGAGATGTTCACCTGCCTTTGAGGTGGCGTTAATGAGAGTCACATTCACCCTCTTATTTGCAGCTTGCACCACCTTTTACACCTGGGTAAACTGCACATTTTCAGTGTGTCAGGATTTTTCTGCAGGAGCTTAAATAGTGACAGAGCACAAGGTGAGGAACTTATCTGTGCCATTGGTGATTTCTGTGCTACTGAAAATCTCTGCAGGCAGATGCCAGCTTCCAGCTCTGCAAACAGAAAAAGTCTGAAAGAGTGAAAGAACAAGGGCTGTAGACTGGTAAATGATTTTATCCATTCCCTTTTCTTAGTTCCAGAAGAAAAGTGTCCTTCTCTGAGGCTGTGCCAGTGCCTCGGAGAGTTTCTGTTGGCCGGTGGAGTTAATTTCATGGGTTTTGTAAGCAGTTAACCAAGGATGTGATTTTTACAGCAGTTTTGGACGAAGCGCAGCTACCGCTGTTAGGAGATCTAGCGGTCGGTGGTTGTGGCTAGGATGGGAATTGCTGGTCTATAAACCAGCAATCAAAACAAAGTATGAAAACCCAAAGCTGTTGTGCGTGGTTTTGCTGGAGAGCAGTCCCAGCTGGCGAGGCAGGCACAGCTCTCCGACCCTGCCTGCTTTTCCGTGGGTTCACAGGAGGATGCTTGAAATGGGGTCAGCTGAAAACGGGAGCTGGTGCTGCCGTGGCAGAGGGGGGTGGTCTGCGGCACGGTGAATGCTGAATTCTGCTTTCTGTTAACGTAGACATGTGTTTCATGCATCTTAATGTAGACCTAAACCCATGAATTCCACTTAAGATATTTACAAAAGCAGTATCTGAATGGGTGGGTGGTGGGAAGGAGTCGGAATGGGCCCATGGACTGCTAGGAGGTAGCTGACAGGTAATTAGAGGAAGCCAAGCAATGAGAAGCAGGATTCAATATCCCTGTCTGCAGAGTCTAAGTGACTGCGGTCTCTTTCCTCTCCAAATCACCTTTTAAACTCTATTCTGTGTTAAAACTCCTGAACCTAAAACCAAACAGAAAAGCAAGCAACCAACCTAACAAAAAAATCTGAGTGAACCCCCCTCAAAAGGCAACATGAACCGTCAGGAACTGACTGATTTTGATTTATGGTTTCTTTATCCTGCAGAAGCAGGAAGGTAATGAACCGGTGTTTTGATCTCTGTGGGCTTTCTTGCAGCAGTGAGGAGATCAAAACAAGCTTAACAATTTCTGATACCTGCCTGCTCTCTTCCCCCCTCCCACTCCTTCTCTGGTACCTTACAGGCAGCCTGACATGACACCAAAGAGCATCAGTTCTGGGGGTGCCACAGACAGCGTTCACCTCTCTCGCAGCAGCCCCGGGGCAGTGGGGCTCCTCCAGCCGCGCTCGGCACGGCAGGGGGGGGGGGGGGGGCGTGCGCAGGACAGGACTCTCCCCTGCGGGGATGGATGCTGTCCTGTCCTGTCCCACTCCCTTGGGATCTTCCCCCAGTTCTCTGCGAGCCTCAGACTTGCAGGTCCTGAGGGTGCTGGCAGCGTGGGGACGTGGGGAATACCTGCCCCTCGTCCTGGGAGGGGGAGCGGTGCAGGCGGCAGGCTGGTGCGGGGTCCGGGGTGCTCGCCCCTCGCAGGAGGGAGGAGAGGAGCGGGTGAGTGAAGTAAAGCAAGCGGAGGAGTTACCCTGTCAGTTTGCAGAAATGCTGCTGTAGCTCTTCTTGACAGGGAAGGTCAGCTGCCCGGAGAGGTCCAGGGACAGCGCCTTCGGGTGCAGTGCCCGTCGCTGGTGCAGGGGGCTGGAGCTGGTCCTGGGCGAGTAGAGCACCGCCAGCTCGGGGCCCGGCAGGGTGGCTTCTGGCAGGAGAGCTTCCACCATGGCTGTCGGCTCCGTCCTGCCACGTGGCAGGCTTGGGGAGGGCTGCAGGCTGTGTCGCTTGGGCGGTGGGGGGCTGTGGTGCTGGCA